TCCGTTGTGTGTACAAAATTTATCCAAATATGAGAAAATAGTGTTTTTTAACAACACGAAAGACTAGCGAGGGACATTCACAACATAGTAAAGCTCTTTTCAAGGTTAAATCCCAATAAAATCCACAAGAAAAGGTAAAACGTTTTCATGTATTCAATTCATTCAATTCAATTTTATTATTCACGCTTTATAAAATATTAACATTATATATAGTAAGGTTAGAATACACTAATAAAGTAGAAGAAAGGAAAAAAAAAAGAAAATTAATGGCTTGGGTAGAAGTGTACGGTGGTCAGAGGAGCGTAGCTTTCGAGCTAACCACCGCTATATTATGATTGGAAATACATAATAAACGTGCGCTTGGTGCCATGGCAACTATGGACGATTATGCCAGCAGTCAGGTTGTGTGAGACAGTCATATTACAATTGTTACCTTTGAGAGTTAACTAGAATTCGCTTATATTCTTTTTTGAACTTGTGGTAGCTAAGTGTTTTTATCTTAGTAGGAATCTCTTCCCAAGTTTTGGTTATGGCAAACTTAAATGTGTGTTTGCTGTAATTTGACCTTACACGTGGTACATGAAAGTTAAGATTTGAGGCATATCTGGGATTGTGTGAGTGAATATCAGACACCTTTACAAGGTAGTTTTGAAACACTTCAGGGATATTGGCTTCATTTTGTGAGATTTTGTGAGCTAAAAAGGAGATTTTGAGTTTAAAAATGCTATCTATGTTAAGTATATCTAGAAGTTTGAGGTAGGGTGCACTACTTTCTCTATTAGGGACTGGTCAAAAAGTATAGGGGGGGGAGGGTGGGCCGGAGCATTTGGAAATGTGGTTGATAAAAAACACATGACCCACCCCCTCCCTTCGGCACAAAAATGACTGACCCACCCCTAAAGCAAGGTTGGAAATTGCATGACCCACCCCCTAGTTAAAACATGAATGTTTGGTTTCCTCTAACCTTGTTCTGTGCTTGACAAAATTTATTGATACACTGCTACAACCAATATCAAAATCACAGAAATCATACCTTTCACTGAAAAGACAAATGTGAAAAACCGCACATTTCTTGTTTCGATGGACGTTATGAGTCTTGACACAAATATACAGCAAAACGAGGGTATATTGAAATTGTGTCACAAAGCATTTGAAAACTTCTACAAAGACAACCCATTCCTACACATTACTTGCCGGAAATGCTTAGATTAATCCTCAAAGAAAATTTCTTCCACTTCAATGGAAAGCACTACTTACAAAACCATGGAACTGCAATGGGCACAAAGACAGCAGTTTTGATTCCTTTGCCAATATTTTCATGAAATATATTGAAACAACAACTCTAAGCAAAACTGTCTTTAGAACAACTGTTTGGAAATGCTACATACACGATATCTTTTCCCTATGGGACATGAGTAAACCAGACATCGAAGCCTTCATTGAACAAGCAAACTTACATCACTCAAATATTAAATTCACGGCCGAAACATTTGACACTGAGATACAGCGTTTTTAGACACGGTTGTATACAAAGGCACAAGATTCAAGAAAAAATCCATCCTTGATGCAAAGACACATTTTAAACAAACGGAAACCTTCTTCCACACACATTTCACCTCGTGTCACCCTCCAACTGTTAAAAAAGGATTTGTCAAAGTGTTAAAAAAGGATTTGTCAAAGGAGAAGCCTTGAGAATCCTACGAAAAAACGCCTCAGAAACAACCGTTGAGGAAAATAATTCAAATTAAAAAAAGAAACGCTTGATGGACGGAGGCTATCCACAAACTTTGATAGAAGACCTACTATCAGAAATAAAATTCACAAAAACAAGTCTAAACTCCTAAAACAAAACATACAAGGAGGAAAAAGAAATATTACCATTTGTGACACAATACCAACCCTCAGTGCCTGCTATAAAGAAAGCTTGAATAATAAAAATGGAATCTTATACAAAACCAACCCTAACTTCAATAAATTTTTAAAGAACCACCAATCATTTCCTTACAAAAAAGCAAAATCATTAAAGGACACGCTCGTTAGAGACAAAAAAAATGTTAACAAAGGGTTCCATGCCCGTATAGATGTGCGGCCTGTCACCCTTTGTATTTTCTTGCACAACAGGTTTGTGAGTATTTTAGCAATAATTCCAGCTGGCTGTGTTTTATATAACAAGTGTGGTCAAATTAGTGCCTATCTATGTAATAAAATAGGGTGACCCACCCCCTAAGGGAAGCTGAAAATTGTGCAACCCACCCCTTCCACAAGGCTCAAGACCTCATGACCCACCCCCTCTCTGCTCCGGCCCACCCTCCCCTATACTTTTTGACCAGTCCCTTATGGCTAAAAAATATGCAGCGTATACATTTATTTTGTTTTGTTTGAACTTTAGTTAATCTACTTGGGTATGTGTTTCCCCAACTCATAATTCCATAATGAAGGTAGGGGAAGATAAGTGAGTAATATATTTGTTTGAGGGTGTTTAAAGTTAAGAAATGGTGTAATCTGAAAAGGATTCCCCAGTTTTTAGATATTTTGCTGTTAATGTGCTGAATGTGGGGAGCCCAATTTAGATTTTTGTCAATGTAGATACCTAGGTATTTGATGTAGTTCTTTTCTTCAATATTGTGTAAATTAAGCTTAAGTTTATTTGCTTTTTGGGGGGCGGAGACTGTCATTTAGTGGGTTTTCTTAAAGTTTACAGAAAGTTTATTAGCTGAGCAGTAACTAAGAAGATGGTTGAATTCCTCATTTAAAGTTTTTTCAAGGTCCGTAGAAGTAGAAGAGAGTGGTGTCATCAGCAAATGTTCTAATATTTGCCTTTTCTAAACAATTAGGCATGTCATTGATATATATCAAAAACAGAAGTGGGCCGAGGGTAGAACCTTGTGGTACACCACATTGGATAGAGAGTGGGTTTGATTTAGCATTTTCAACTTCAACATACTGTGTTCTGCTTTCAAGATAGCTTTTAAACCACTGCAGAGGGACACCACAGATCCCGTATCTGTATAATTATCTGTATAATTTCTGTATTTTAAAATATATATTAGTTAAAAAATTTTTTTAAAAATCTAAGCTACTGCTAGATGTGTAAATATTTATAATATTTTATACAATGATGTGAATGCTTCGCGCAGTGTGATTGGTCGTTGTCCATGATCTATCCGAGTACAGACACATGGATGACGTCACGGGTAACTTGTTTTCTTTATTTAAATATAGGGCATCAATATTATTTTTCCGAAAAATTGAAATGAAATCTAACCCTTTAAGAAGGTAAGAATTTTTCTGATGCCTCTCTCTATCATATTTTCTGCGAATTCGAAAATTTTCGATTTAGATAGGTAGATAGATATATGGATAGATAGATGCTTTTTTTAATGAGGGTTTCACTTAATATCCACAGATAATATATGCGTGGCCCTCAACCAACAATAAAGCATAAAAAATGAAATAAAAATTAAGTAATGAATAAAGATACAAAATCAAGAAAGTCCTACTTACAAACAATAGCTACAAATATTATGGTCATGAAAGGTACGTTTTAAGTTTCAGCGAAAATATACTGATCGACTGGGCCTCGTTGATGTCTTTTGGGAGTTCGTTCCAGCTCCTATCTGCTGAAAACCTGAAGGCATTTTTGCCGTTCTAGTCCTAACTTTTGGTAGTATCAAATTGTGCTTGCGTTTCTCGTGCCCGCATTAAGAACGTCACTAGTCATTGTAAATAGCTGTTATGTAATTTGGTGCGAGATTGTTGAGGGCCTTAAAAACCAAGATATTCTGCAAGTACTCCAGTCTTTTATCAAATGGCAAGATATTTAGTTCTTTGAATAGAGGTCTGGAGAGACTGTCCCATTTTTTGTCCAGGATTATTATGGCGCGTCTTTTCTGCAATTTGATAATATCTTGGACGTGCCGTTTAGGGGGGGGGGGGGGGGGGGG